CCCCCTCTCTCTCTCTCTCCCCCCTCTCTCTCTCTCTCCCCCATCTCTCTCTCTCCCCCCCATCTCTCTCTCTCTCCCCCAATCTCTTTCTCTCTCTCTCCCTTTTTTTCCCTTTACTATCCGTGCCCCGCCCACCAGCCGCTGGAGTCCCCGCCCGCGTCCCGCCCATTACCAAATGGGGCAGTGTTTATTATTGTACAAATTCAAGCTCGGATTTGCCTTAGAGTTTAGAAGACGCGCTGGGACGGCGGGCGTTTCGGTAGAGGCAGGGATGTGCGTGCTGGTCTTCGGATGCCGCGGAGGGATCTCCAGGAGGGGCTATGGGGTACGAAGGTGGGGAAGCGGTTGCATAGTGACATCGGTTTATCTCTTGGTCTGGGTTTGCTGGAGTGAGAGCCAGGGCTGGAAACGGAGCTGGATCCAAACTTGAGCTTGTTGGAGGCGATCGGCCCCGAAGAGGTTGGGTGACCCCAGAGACTGTGGGGCCCGCGGGTTGCAAAGGCGTGGGCATTGAGGTTTCTTCACACCAAGGTTGAAAGGGGCGCGCGGGTGACAGAGGGTAGTCACGAAAGGGCAACGCCCCGCCCCTCCTGGCAGAGGTCCGCCTCCAGGATCTAGGCTGGCCCGGCCGGGCTGCCCACGGGCCCCACGTTAGAGGAGCTGGGCCGCGGAGAGGGCCGGGGTGCCCAAGGGACTGGCCTGTCGCTCCCACAGGCAATGCCGATACCCAGACAGGGTTTTCCACCCGTACTACGACTTCCTTTTTGATATTTTAAATTTACCTGTTTCTCTGCGGTCTCCTTATTCCATGGGTCGGGTAGCTGGGACCCTCACACACAAGGCTTATTTCTGGTTTTCTCATTTTCAAGTGGGATGCCCGCCACGTTTCTGTGTTCAGAGGCTATCTGGGCACTCACATCCCCAGCCGAGTCCCCAGCCGGGTGATGCAGCGACAGACACTCCCCCCACCCCTGTGAGTGCACTGGGTGCCTCTCCTCCTTCCTGGCCCACCGCACTGGGCCATTTCTACACCCACCTGCCATCTTCACCCTTCCCTCCTCTCTTTGGCATGCTCACGCGATTTACTCAATGAAACGCAAGTTACCCCAAGTGTGTGTGTGTGTGTGTGTGTGTGTGTGTGTTTTAACATTCAGGGGGAGATCATAAACAGGAATTAGTCACGCTAGGTACCCACTACCCCTGCCCTAACGGGTGGAGTGGGAAAGAGAAGCCTCCTTCGAAATCAGCATGATTCAGGATTTTTTATTCAAGCAGTGACATAGGAAATTGTAAAATGTGATGGGGGTGGGGGGGCCACATACACCCTAGGGTGGGTGGATGCGGGGAGAGCAAGCAGGCTTCCCAAATGCCTAATGTAATCACGGGCCAGCTGCATGCACTTGTAAAGTTGTTATAACCCCCTCCTTGTTATAAACAGGAAAGCCCAGAATATAAAGCTGGAGACCCACATTCACAAATACCAGGCCCCCCCGAGCCAGCTGCCACGGCCTCCTTTTATGGTGTTCCTCCCTTGCAACCTTGGCCCCATCAGGAGGACCTTAGTTTTACCCCCGATTCTCCAAATGGATTTATTTTGAAATCATCCTCAACGGAGTTGTAGACCAGGTGCTCTACCCCAGGTCCCCAGTGCCCTAGGCCTTCCCTTGCAGAGAGGCTGGGCTCCCAAAGTCCATTTCCCTTTGATTTTCAGGGAGCCCTGGAAGGGAGGGTGTGGCAGAGCAGGTCCCTAGAGAGTGCAGCGTCCTACTGGCTCTGCCACCTGTTTTTCCAAGGAGGGCTGCATCCCCTTCTCAGCCGACAGTCAGGCTTCTTAGACACCCTCTTGCCGCAATCTAAAAGGTTCCTAGGACCTCAGAAAGCATTTTCCTAGACCGTGGCATCTCCACATCTCCGGTTAAGCCTGGGAGAAGAAAAGGCCTTTTGTGGGAGGCCCCGGGGTTATGGGGCTCCCCCAGGCCAGCATAAAACTCATCCCTGCATACCCAGCCCCCTCTCCACCTCTCCTTCCTGCCTCGGCAGACCATGCTCCAGCCACCCCGGTCTACATCCTGCTTCACTGACTGTGTGTGCTTACAGCGTCAAGGGGTGGACGTGATATTTCAAACATCAGATCAGTGCGTTTATATATTGGGTGCCCGGAAATTTTTCCAAATAAACACAGCTTGATTCAACTTGGGTGGGCGGACTTATCAACAGACTAATTCTATAAACAAATGAAGGAATAGCCCCAAAACCGATTGGCTGGTATCAAAAAGACACGTGGAGGGAAAAGCTTGGAGTTTTTCAGCAATGAAATTTTAATTAATGTGGGTGGGCTGAGAACACAAGGACTGTTTATCATAGACAATTTATTTTCCAGCGCTAAGTCAACATATAACAGCAAACTTACAACAATTATTTAACATTTTTAAAGCCATGAAGAAGGGACAGAGCTCGGAGCGGCCGGGGAGAGCGTCGGAGCCAGAGGCAGAGGCTCGGCGGGCTGCCCAGGAGGGCCCTTGCGGCGCAGGGCGCTGTGCCTAGGCCGCCCGGGTCGCCTGCGTCGCGGGGAGCGCAGCACAGGCTCTCGCCTGCCATGAGCCACCTCTTCGATCCCCGGCTGCCCGCCCTGGCCGCCTCGCCCATGCTCTATCTGTACGGCTCGGAGAGACCCGGGCTGCCTCTGGCCTTCGCCCCTGCGGCCGCTCTGGCTGCCTCGGGCCGGGCCGAGACCCCGCAGAAGCCTCCCTACAGCTACATCGCGCTCATTGCGATGGCGATCCAAGACGCACCCGAGCAGAGGGTCACGCTCAACGGCATCTACCAGTTCATCATGGACCGCTTCCCATTCTACCACGACAACCGGCAGGGCTGGCAGAACAGCATCCGCCACAACCTCTCGCTCAACGACTGCTTCGTCAAGGTGCCCCGCGAGAAAGGGCGGCCGGGCAAGGGCAGCTACTGGACGCTGGACCCCCGCTGCCTGGACATGTTTGAGAACGGCAACTACCGGCGCCGGAAGAGGAAGCCCAAGCCAGCCCCCGGGGCCCCGGAGGCCAAGAGGCCCCGCGCGGAGACTCACGAACGCGGCGCTGAGGTTCAACCGGAGACGGAGAGCGGGGAAAGGGGCTCCGGCCCAGCGATCCCCCGCCTGGAGGGAACGCCCGCCGGCCCTTCGCCTCACCTGGATGGCCCCCCTCCGTCGGCGCCCCTCCACTGGCCGGGGACCGTGTCCCCAGATGAGGACCCCGGTGATGCTGTCCAGGGCGCAGCGGTCGTGGCGGTCGGCCAGCCAGCGCGCACGGGGGACGGCCCGGGGTCCCCTGTGCGCCCCGCCTCCCGAAGCTCTCCGAAGAGCTCCAAGTCCAAGAGCTTCAGCATAGACAGCATCCTGGCGGGAAGGCAGGGCCAGAAGCCGGCTGCAGGGGACGAGCTCCTGGGGGGCGCCAAGCCGGGGCCCAGCGGCCGTCTGGGCGCCTCGCTCCTGGCCGCCTCCTCCAGCCTCCGTCCGCCTTTCAACGCTTCCCTGATGCTAGACCCGCACGTCCAGGGCGGCTTTTACCAGCTCGGGATCCCCTTCCTCTCCTATTTCCCCTTGCAGCTCGCCGACACGGCGCTCCACTTCCAGTAAAGCAAACAATGACGCGGTTCTTCTCCCTCGCCGGGCCTGAGCCTCCGCTGTGCGAAAGGCCTTAGCTCCCAACGGCCGGGGATTTTAAAATGACCTTTGCCTGGGTCGGCCTGTGGGTTCAGGAAAGTGTTACCAACCATTGTGCGCAGGTGTGCGCGCTTGCCTGACTTCTTCGAAGCAAACTTTTCCCAGCAACCCGGCGCGGCTATGGAGACTTAAAAGACCCGGTCCCCGCGGGGTCGTGGGCATTGCACGCGGGCACCGTAGGGACCTCTACCGCAGGAGATTCCTTGACCTTTGGCCTGCCTAATGGAGTGGTCTTCAGCCGCCCACCACAGGTCCTATGCGTCCCGGGCCTGCGAGGGCCCGCAGACCACCCAAGGCAGGCCTTAGAGGCTCAATGTGGTCCTTTCGACCGGGGACCCCCGTATGACTTTCCACTGCTTCACTGTTGCCATGTGGCTAAGGTCTTGGTTTTGAGCCCATCTGTGTGGTGGGTGGACACAGCTGGGTTTGTCCCTGACTTGAAGTTGTGGGGGTGCTGGGGGTGACCCGGGTTTTCAGGTTTTCTGGGAGGTGCAGGGCCTGGTGAGGATTTGTGACCAATGTTCAGGCACAGAAGCTGATAAACCGCCCAGAGCAGTAACACTTTTATTTTAAACAGAGAATTTTTCTCTTAATTTCTTTCCGGGTATTAAAAAAAACCCTGTTTTATTCTTTGCATTAATGCTTGACTCTAAGCATTGACCTTTGAAAACGCCTGTAGTAACAACTTTAAGAAAGCACACTCTGTATAACATATTCTTGCATTATGATAGCTCATTAGCCAATACACGTGCAGCAATGTAACCGAGACAGCAGACGTCCTATCTTTTTGCTTTTGTTTTTAAGGGATCAAAATATTTCAAGGGATACCATGAGGAAGGGTGTGAGGGGGAGGGGATATGTCTCAGACTGTCAGAGTTTTGATTTCCATGTTGTTTTTTTAAGACCCAGTCTTGCTCGTTGCTATATTTTTCGGAATCAGATAATGAAGGACTACATTTCTAAAAAGTTAGATGAAACAACCAAAAAGCAGATGCAGAGAGAGAGAGGGATGAATGTGGGGGACAGAATAAGGGGACCTGCTGGTGTCCACTGGAAGAGGCTTCTCTGGGCCCCAGAGGACTTGAGTCTTGATGGCAGGAATCTCCCAGACACTCCCAGTCTCTGTACCCCTTCTGCTGTACGCTCCTCCCTCCAGCCCTGCCTGGCAGTCCCGGAGGCTGATGCTAAATCAACATCTTAAAGAGGTAACTGGCAGTCAGGGGAGGGGAGCAGAGGGCTGCAACAAAAATCTATGAAGCACATTGAGATGTTCACAGCCAAGTGCAGCTTGCAACTTTGGGGAGAGGCACCCAGCCTCCACGGCATCTCTAGCTGGGTTGTCTTAGAGGTCCTGAAATGCAATTTTCTGAACATCCAAGTAACTTTCATTTTATGTCATGTGAGAAAGACACACACAGTCACACATTCTTGGAAGTAGGCTGGGAGGGAGGTCTTTCAGATAGCCTTTAAAATGGTTTCCAGGACTTATCTAAAAACGATGACAAACTTTTTATCCAGCGGGCCTGTTGGTCAGTGTGTTGAAAAGGACATTGCAGGCTGGCAGAGTCACTGAATAATTCATAGACACAGAGGTGACTTTTGGAAAATTCATTCTTATAGCCATGCCGAAGCAGGCTTCCACAACTGGGTTCCACCCAGGCCAGTGGGAAGACTCTGGGAAACTGCAGCCCAGCCTTGATTGGAAGAACTTCCAGGAGATGTCATTGCTGAGATCCAGGCTCACTGTGATTAACTGAAAATGTGGTGGAAGGGCTGTCACTGGACATTTTGTTTTCCCAAACTCTCAGCCTCTGTGAATAAAGTTGTTTTTTCATTAACCTCTCAGTGACTGGTTCAGTGGATTACTGGAGGGAAATAAACAAACAGTGTAATAAGAAAGAGGAGACTGGGATTCTATTTGGGAGTCGTGTTAGCATCTCAGGCTCTGGCTTCCGAGGGGTAAACACACAGATGGAGGGGAAGGAGTGGAGAGGGTGCCGGCTCTCAAAGCTGCCTGGATATCAAAGCATGATGAGTAAATCTTCTGTATTGAATCAGTTTTTAATCTTTTCTTTTTTGTGTTTGATATGCTATCTTGGGGGGTTTTGTTAATTTGTGGTGGCCAAGTTTTGAAGAAGCCAATAATCTGATACTGCAATTTTATAAGGATCATATTTTAAAGTTACCATTCTAAAAAGTATTGTACAAACATTATTTTTATGACACAGAAAAATGCAGACGTATCTACTTTTGTGTTTATACATGCATAAAGAGAAATTCTACTTAATCTCCACTTTCATCTGGTTTAGGAAAGCTAAGAGAAATGGATAGTGAGGTCATTTTTATATAATCTGCATAATTTCATGTGTACTCCTTCCTCCCAAACCCAAAAAGAGGAACTTCGGCTCTTACCAATCTGAATAGCTGTTCTATTGACCCAGATTTAATCGTTGGCTCAAAATTATGGCTTAATAAGGTTTCTGCTCTTAATTAAAACAAAATCTCAGCTATGATTAGGGTGAGCCAGAAGCAAGCTTATCATTGGACTCTTACGCAGTCTGAAGGAATACCTCTCTGCTCTCATCTAAACAAAGGGTACAGATCTGTCTTCTGTAAATGATTTTTGGTTCAAGCCCTGATTACACACACACACATACACACACGCACGCGTGCACTGATCATAATGAGGATATGGCAGGTACGTGTATAATCACTGTGTATACATATGTATATATTTATATATGTATATGCATATATATGTGTACATGAATGTGTAGGGGTGTGTGTATTTGTTCTGTGTACATGAATGATCACAGACTCAGATCAAGTACTGAGAACTCTCACATTAACCCAAGTATTGTTACTATTAGAAAGATTTCGTTTTTCTATATAGTTTTTAAAAATAGATATGATTTCTATATTGCTTTAATAGTTTTGTTTCTCTATGTAGTAACATAGAGAAACCAGGGGTAACTTTATTGTTCTGTGTTATTGTAGTGAAACAAAAAGATTTTATTTAAAAATCATGGGAGACATACCAGCTTTGAGAACTTTTCCCTCTGTTCACAAGGACAGAGAACTCTACAAAGGACTCTTGCTCTGCCTGGCCTCATATAGTTGCTGGCTCTTCTAGAAGCCAATGGCCTCCTGTGTCTCCAATGAGCCATAAGATTTTTGAAACAGGTCCCTGGAAAGGACCTGTTTAGCCATTTTCAGATTTAAACATGCGTGTTTGAGTGGTGGTCTTTACCATTTCGCTCAAAGTGGTGAGCATATACCGGTGTGTGTGTGAAAGAATCATCCACATATAATCATTGTTACGGCTGAAAGCCAGAACCAGGTTACCCAGGCACTGGCAGGTTAATGTTAACGCCACAAAAGTGGGTGACATTTCCAGTAACCAGCTGCACCTGGGAATGAGAAAACTGGGAGAGAGCCACAATTTTGTGCCCTTCCTGTCTTCACGGCGGCTGAAGTTTTGCTTCCACAAAATAAAGGTTGTTTCACGGAATGAAAAACATAAATAATAAAAAGCAAAGTTTGTCATTAAAAATAAAGAGCATGAGCTTGTTGTGAAAATAAGATGATTCTGACCTACATTTAAAGCAGTGTTTAAAATATGCCTGGAGAGCCACATGGCAAGCTCTCTCCTCTGCTGGTCCTTACCCAGAGGTCCCGATGCTGAGTTCTCCACTCCAGGGTTCAGGCAGGGGCCATAAATGTTTATAGTGACCTGGAGTGGGGCCTGATCGCTGGAGTGGGCACTGGTGGGGCTTGGGCTGAGCTGGGGTGGGGGAAGTTCTGTCCCTTCAAATTGGCACCCAAATGCCAATTGCACTGGGCAAATCAAATGTGTGGCTTATAGGCCAGAAGTGGAGTTAAGCTCAGGCTCTCCACCTTGGGGTGCAAATGAAATCTGGGGGCACACAGTCAACTCAGGTATCTACACACGCAGTGAGGGAGGAGGAAGGCAATGAGACAAAGATTTGGTCCCAACCTGTTTTTTCCATTAGGCACAAGAATTGGGGTCCTGGCAGGAAATAGAAATCCACTTAACTGAGTCCATGGAAAGAATCGGGGTGGAAGGACTATTTATGGAGGCGTGGGCTGGGTGAAGGAAACGCACCAGTGATTAGCAAGGGTGAGAACGGCTCCACCCTGGCTCCAACCCCCTCATGCTGCAGGTGCCACCTTCAGAACTGGAGTGGAAAGGAGCCACAGTGCTGGAGCAGACAGGAGGAAAGGGAAATAACCCACCTCTCCTCTTTCGCCTTCCAGCCTCATAGGATACCTCTGATGGGCTGAAATCTGCCAGAAACTGAGCCTACAAGGGAGCCCAGCTAATGCCGTCCATGGGGGTCAACCTGCAGAGGAGGTGAAGAGGGCTGAGAGCGGACCAGGGAGTGGCTGGCAAGCTGACTGTGAGCAGCCCAGTGGGGGTCCTTCCGCTGGGGCCAGCAAGTTGCCACTCTCCTGACCACATCTTGATGTACAAGAGCCAAGGATGGGATGTCTCAGACAATGCTGACGGCTGCCTCTGGAGTTCCAGAAGATTGGAATCTCCTATCTGGCAAGCTTCCAAGAGAAGCAGGCTGTGGGCCTTAATCTGGGACACTCTTATGTGGGCAGGGCCTGGGCCTGATCTGAGCTCCAGAGAGGGCCTGCTCTGGCCATGCATCTTTGCCTGGATGCCTGGAGCCTGAGAAGTTGCTGGACTGCCTGTGATTACACATAGCAGTCATTTTTCTTTTTTTTTTTCTTTCAATTTGTTTTTGTTTTGAGGCTGACACTCACTCTGCTGCCCAGGCTGGATTGCAGTGCAGTGGTGTAATCACAGCTCACTAGCCTCAAAATCCTGTGCTCAAGCCAGCCCCCTGCCTTAGCCTCCTGAGCAGATGGAACTATACATGTACACTATTACACTTGGCTCATTTTATAATTTTTATGTTTGTAGAGAGGGGTCTGGCATGTTGCTCAGGCTGGTCTCGAACTCTTGACCTCAAGTGACCCTCCCACCTCAGCCTTGCAAAGCACTGGGATTACAGGCGTAAGCCACTGCACCTAGACTTCATTGGATGTATGGCTGATGCTGTCCTGCCCTTCTAGAATGTGTGGGCCACATGTTGGCAAGGGCATCCTCAAGCCCAATGCAGAGGAAGGTGGGATGAAGGAAGGTGTCTCTACCCCAGGACAGTATCCATGTTTAGCTCACTTGGAAGGGTGAGGAAAAAACCCTGGAGTTCACGAGGTCATGTGGACTTCAACAGCATGAACTCTAAGGAACAGCTCATGCCTTCACAATGTGCAGCAGGAAGTACTGAGTCTCATGCCACCCAGGGCTCTTGGCTCCTCATCTCTCCCAGGTAGCTGGTCACTATCTCCTATCCGCCTCTTCCAGGTCCGTCCCAACACACCCAACAATGGGAACCATGGCTGTAATTGCATCTCATTTATTCCTTACCACTCAGTAATCGATCTAGTCGGGGTGGGGTGGCCCCGGAAGGGGGTTCCTTAACTTGGATAAGAGTGTGGTCTCAGAGCCCATCAGACAGAGGCGAATAACGCAGCTGAGCTCTCGCTTGCTGTGAACATTGGCACAGTGACCTAACTCTTCTGTCCCTTAACTTCTGGCATGGGTACAAATAACATTAGTAACGGCTTCGTAGAGCTGTCATGAGACGTAAGTTAAATGATGGTTATACATTCGTGACAACAGCCTGCCCTGGTTCTTGTCTGTAAAATAGGAATAATAATCTCTTCTCCTGCATGGGACCTCGCCAGAGTTAAATTAGTTGATATCTGTAAAATATCTGGCACACAGAAAACACTCAATACACGCTAGGTCTTATGGCTATATACAGATGTGGCCTCTAGTCTCCTTTCGTGACTTCTCTGTTCAGTAACAAAATCACAATCCAACAGCGGGGCTCATGTTAGAGAATTCTGTCGAGAAAAGAAGGCTCCTGGGGCTGATTCTCCAGCCCTCCTGCCTGGGCAGGCTGGGATCCATTTCATCTTTTTGTTGCAATGTTTCCTCTCTTGAGATGATCCAACCGTTTGAACACGAAACCAAAAGCAGAATAAGCTGCTACACACGGCAGGGGATCGTAGGAAAACCGTAGGAGAGCTGATTTTCACAGGCTGGAGGAGAGCAGCATTCCTCTGGTGCTCCTTTGCTTTGCCCAGGGGTAGAAGGAGCCTAGAGGAGACTTCCCAGGGCTGGCTGTCTAGCCATTGTGAACTCAAGGGCCTTGGGAATGAATGCAACTCTGTATTTCTGCCCCCCAGCACTGAGACCATTCCTATAAGCCAAAACAGAGGCTCCACCCCTCTCCTGGGGACAAAGGGCCTAGCCTGGAGGAGCAGTTTTCCCTAAACACATGCATTTCATAGCCCGCCTTATAAAGTGTAAAGAGCGTTTCTTTTCAATGCTGTAGCTAAATATATCAGGGCCTGGTCAGCTAGAACATTTTTAGAAAGCACATTACAAATCAGGAATGTTTTGAAGAAATAAATAAACTTTCCCACATTTTTGGACTTTGAGTCGGTACGGCGGCCTCCATCTTGAGAGCGTGATGGGCGGATAAACGATGAATAATTCATCGCTGGCACTGCCCAGGGCTCTTTCTGGAACCCTGAGTGCGCTGGACATTCTGCATGGACTGAAGTTGTGGTGCAGGGATGGACGTGGGGGGGGACACTGTCACGGGGAGGGCAGCCTCGTGTCGCCATAACGGCCACTCCGTGTCTAAAGAAGAGAAACAAACGTATCTCCAGTGTGTTGCATTTCTGACTCAGCCATTTTGGGAGGTGTTCACTGCAGCATCCGCATGTGGGGAGAAGAC